ACACACACACACTGCACAATCAGGAGCAGCCTCACGACTTCAGAGCCACGACTGTGTGTCTGGCTTTGAAATACATGCTTGTGTTTTAAGTGCTTAGAAGTTTGGGAAAATGTTATTTTACTTTTACTTTGTTATTTAAATTTAAAAGGGAATATTAAAAGGCTTCCTCGTGTTTGAAATGAGTTGTATTGCCTTATATATAACTTTAAAATAAGAAATGTATGTCTTCTGGTCACAGTGATCCACCATCGCACTAAACGCTGAACAAATCTCACCCCGACTCACTGCTAAGACACAACAATGACTCTTACTGCAAGATAAAGAACAAAACCAACTCGATATTATATCATGGGCCAGTGTGGATTACACAACAGTTTTATTTGGAATATTAAGACAATGAAGCATAAGCCAAGCACCAAGAGTGACAGCTACAGGTGTCGCATCATACGGCTCTTAAAAATGAACAGGTTATACTGGAAAACAGGTACTTTTTTTGTCTCTTTGAACAGTGAAGCAGATACACACAACAGACAGTGAAATGTGAACATGATTTATGCCATTTACACGCTCCAAATCCTACCTGACAGCAGAAGGAGAAAAAAAGAGAAAAGGAAAAGCAGAAGATAACGGAACGGCGAGGATTCGTCCGACAGCAGCGCGGTCAGCCCGCGGCGGTGGCTGAGGCCCGGGACTTAAGAGGGCGCCCTGCGATTGGTCGGGACGAACGAGGCGGTCTGGGAACACGCCGGTGCGGCTGAGCGATGACCATTAGTTCACGTCACTGTCAAGTCCTGTTGCCTCGGCACCCGACATCTACACAGCAACCAATGTGCACGTACAGCATTAAAGTGACAGAGGATTGCAACCATTGTTACACTACACTCCATTTGCATATTAGGGAGAAGTAAAATGAAGAATTATCATTTCTGTTTGCATATAGCACTTTCTAAAATATATATACGGGAACATGAAATAAATCTTTTTTTCATTTATCCTCTAAGAGCTCAACCGTAATTAGTACCGAGTTGGGTGATGATGGGGGGGTTACAAGTCCTTCATGCAGGGATGTTGCAGTAGTTTGGGGGGACTGCCGGCGACCCAAGCAGCCCGTCTCCTCATCCAGACCGGACCCAGTGGTTTCTTTCCACATGACGAGGCTCTCATAGTGCAGCTAAACGATGTCATACTAATGACAACGTGCGGTCAAAATAGTTCAATTCACGGGATTCGATTTTTCTGAAGAACATAGAATGTGAATGTACACGTAAACCAATCTGCTGCCCCACCCCCCCCCCCACCCCGCCCTTTTTTTCGGGGGTGGGGAGAGTGACGCAGAAAGGTGGTGCTGGCTAAATGTGGTCCATTTCCACACATCCGTTTGTTTAGGTTAGGGGTGGTGCGGATGTGTGGCAATACCTGGGGGGGGGGGGGGGGGTAGTACAGGTGCGAGTGACAGCTAGTGTGTGCAAAATGTGTCCCAGACAGTTGAAGCACCGCAGAAGAATGAGAACGTCTTTTCATCAGGCTCCTATTACCTAACTTTCATGACTCAACAGACATACAATTCCTTTCATTTTTTAATCTATTTATTTCCCCCCCGTTTAAAAATCTACCGGGGTTTATATGGCAGACGTATTCTAGGGTTAATGTCGGATGTTTCCCATGGGGAAAAACTTGGTTGAGAGGGTCCCGGGACTCTCCTCGCCATGGGCCTGCCTGAGAATAAGAGGAGGGGGGGTGCGGGGGTGCAGAGGGTCATTGTTCATAGGAGACAGCGGCATCGCGCCCCCCCCTCACAGTCCCCTCTGCGTCCCCTCCACTGAAACCCTCCGTGTGGCCCGCGTCCGCATGCGGCGAGAGTCGGCGGCCCGCCGGAGAACGAGACTGGCGATGCCTGAAGATACGAGTGAAATGTGTTCGACTGAAGACTGCTGGCTTCTTCTTACGGCACTACCGCTCCCGCTTTGAGCCGAGACACAAAAAAACGTGCCGGCAATAAATATTCGGACAGGGGGACATTTTGGGTCGTGGCTCCGCAGCGCAGCGTGCTCCCGGTGATCGGGTGTGAGGCTGAAGTCTTCGCCCAATATGGATGCTGATGCGGCGCTCAAAGAGCCCAAACAAGCTGCCGCTGTCCTCGCACGCGCAGACGCTGCCGTCAAAACACAAATACGCAATTAAAGTGCTTTTTTTACTTCAACTGATCCAGAGCCCTCTCTGCCGCGGCTCCTCGGCGTTAACTTTAGCCTATCGTGGCCCTGACGGGGTTGGATAGAGAGCAGAGCGGGTCGGACAGACGGGCCTCAGTTCGCTCCACGCCACAGTCACCTCCACATCGGCACAGAGAGGGGGGGCGGGTTGCTCTGAGGCAACAGAGTGGCCCTTTTAGAAAGCAGTAAATGCATATCCCCGACACGGTGAAATTAGCGTGTGATTAGTGCCTTCTGTGAAGAGACAGACGGGTGACACCGACACAGATTTCCTCTATTCGCCAGTGTGGATGCTAAGAACTCCTAAAAAACACCAAAGTGCAAGCGACTCAAATGTCTTCCTTATGCCCCCCCCCCCGCCCCTCCTAAATCAACACTCACTCCCGCCGCGCATATTCAAGCTTTCTGAGAACAAAGTGCAGGGTGGCCTGAAAGGGCTCGAGATGTTCGGCGAAAGTAAAGATGAGCTGGTGAGAATTGAGAAAAGTTTGATCTTTTCACTGTTGCATTAAAAAAAAAAGTGAAAATGAGACAACAGAGGAGGTTGTCAAGTGTTGAATTTCACAGTGTCTTTGTGTATGTACTCACACAGACGAGCCGGTTAACATACTTTTACTGCTATGAAAATCTGATCATTAGAGCACCGTCAGGCACATTAATGCTTTGCTCACAGGCTCAGATAGTCACAGGCGAAGAAACACACTCGACGTGTGTTCGAGGTTCATCCTCGCAGATTGAAAACTACAATGATGGCTGCCTGAAGCACACCGGCCACACTGAAGAAACACGAACCGCTTTCGCCTCGGACCTTCTCATCGTCCAAGCTTCAATTGAGCCAAGTGACGTGTGTCACTAACATCATCACCGGCATGATTTAGAACCCACACAGTGGCTGATGAGTTCAGGTCAACATTCTCGCAGTAAAGAGGGTCGGATCTGTACGTGTGAGATGCTCTGTGTGACGTATGCAGACGGAACGCATGTTCAACTTGTTTCAATAATCGGTCGCCGAACGTAGCGCCGCCCAAATTGTATCCGTTACAAAAACCTCCGACGTGCGCCGATGGCTTAAGAACACCTCCCGCCGCAGGCGTTGGACTACAAAGCAACTAATTATTGGGTATTGCGACATGCGGTTCTCCGAAAGGCACATTGTTTCCTCTTGTGGGAACAAAAGCAGAAATGACTGGCTGGCCAACAAAGTATTTGTCCCAAGTAACCCAAGTGAGATCCTTCTCTCAGAGATATGCCGACCTCTCCGGCGTGGCGTGCTGCCTGTGCTCAGACCTGTGACCAGGGACTAGAAATGCATGCGGGCACCGGGGGAAATGTTGGGGGTTGAGACGCTGTAGCTGTAAGTTGGGGAGTTCCGCTCCAAAGAAAAGGCTACAGCACTTTTTCTCGGTCGGCGACACAGTGACCTTCATTGACAACACTTTTTGACATAGTTTCTTAGCAGAAATATAGAAATATAAGTTATATAAGTTGGAGGAGAGGCCGACAAACTAAAACAGGATTCTTGGTCGGCCTTTGAAGTATCAGGAGAGGTGAGCTGTCAGCTCGTTCCCAAACAAGCCTTAAAAGTTAAAGCAGATCAATTCAGTCATTTTTCCAATAAAGGACTCAGGCATTTGGGGATTTTGGACTTCACCTACAGCTCGTCTTGGTGCAATCAGGTGAAGATTACTATCAGGCTGGGATACGTAGATTCCAGATGGCACCAGAGCCACCAGCTCACGGATGCAGGTGTAAAACTTAACCCTTATCGAGCCCTCCCGTAGCTACACAAACTGCTCAGATGTGACCCTGGAAGCTGAATCGCATTCAGGGAGAAAGGAACTGTGTGAATATACGCAAAAGGAAGAACGGTCACACAACTATGGCAAGAATTGTTAGGAGGGACAGATTGGGAAAACCTATGACGCACAATGGAAATAACGTTGACACGTTCCGCTTGCTCACTGAATACGACACAGTAGAAGGATTCGTCATTCACCATTACTGCTTGAGGAGGAACTAAGGGCTTTTTTGTTTAAAAAAGGACTCATCTATAGTCCTTAGAAAGCAGTTCATTTCCCTGATGTGCTGTCCTGAACTCTGTGGACCCTCTCAGAATCTGCCCCCGACGTAGCTGATGCTCATGCGTGCAAAGAGATGGCAAAGAATGTGCCTTATGTAGCTCCATCCATGGGACAAGCTCTGACTGCAATAAAATAATAGCATCATCGGATGCCCTCTCAACCCACACAAACACACTCTCACACACACACACACATCGTAAAACCCTCTGGGGAAGGTGCTCCACTAGGTGCTTTAGCTAAAGAAGAAAAAAAAGAGAGAAAGCACAAAGTGGACTGTACAATGTAGCCATGTGGGCCTAAATAGCCATTTGGGATGAATACGGGGGGCATGCGGGCAGGTCTACAGGCAGGGTGATGTTGTGGGACCAGGCAGACATTTAGCACAAAGCAGGCGAAAAAAAAGACACAAAGCACTGATATTTGTGCCGTCCATCCCTGTCAAAACAACCTGTTCAACACAAAAACATGTGCTTGCCAGACAGCGTTATACTGAATATAATCATATGTATATTCTGTGATGTAAGCAATAACTAAAACGAAGATTAGAATGAATCTTGTATAGCTTGTTACATTTAAATCCCATCCCTCACCAGAAAGAGGGTTGTATCAGTATAGTGTCTAATTGGCTAATGAGGACTATTTTTTTGGGATTATTTTTCTAAGTTCCATAATCCTCCTGCAGTGTGTACAGGCAATGGAGAAGCCCACCCTATTTGACCTTGAGTGGCGGTTCCCTCTCCAGCCAGCGGACTCGTACTTTCTGTTTATAGTGATACTCCTTGAGGAAGTCCTGCAGGGCGGGGGGCAGCGGCAGGGAGCCTATACCATCGTAAGTGGTCCAGCGGCAGATGGCGGCCCGGGCCAGGTGCTGCAGGCCAAACGGAAAGGTCCGATGGAGAGGCGCCGTGAGCAGCGGTTCAAAAAACATGCAGGCGCTGGGGTCCTTGTAGTGCTCCAGCAGTCCTGTGACGGTGGAAGAGTGGAAAACGCACGGGTCGTGAGCGTCGAAGCTGAAATTGTGGTTCCACTGCTCGATGCGGGCGTGCAGCGAGCGGTTGTAACGGCGGAAGCTAACGGAGAAGAGATAGTCCTCCTGGGCAGAGTCGCGCAGCAGGAAGGTGCCCTCGGGCCGTCCGTCCAGCAGCGCCTCGGCCTCGTAGCGGTCCATCACGCCCCAGTAGCAGGGCAGGGCGGTGATCTGCAGCAGGTCCGGCACCAGGCAGTGGATGTAGTCTATCTGAGTGTGAACCTTCCACGGGCCGGGCTGCTGCCTGCTGAGCTGGACGTCCCCAGAGGCGTGCCTCTGCTTGGGCCTCCGGGCCTGCAGACAGAGGGTGGTCGTATCCTCCTCGGAGTCACAGTCCTGGGCCGCTGACGCCGCAGCCCCCAACGCAGGCCCGCAGGCCCCCAACGAGCCGACGGCCGCTGAGCTGCTGCCTGAGGCGCGGCCTTCCCCCGAGGCCTCTCCCGTGCCAGGACCCAACTTTGGTCCCAGTTTGTAGAGGGAGGAGCCCGGCACCGAGGCCTCCAGGGTGTGGATCTGTGCGTTGGGTGGCGGGTCCACACCTTCCTCGATGCTGAGTCGCCGGCGCTCGCGCAGGCGCTCCTCCTCGTCCTCGGGAGACGGGTGGGCCGGGTCGAAGGCGTCCAGCAGGGCGGTGGAGGAATGCGGGCTGACCGGTGCCGTGTGTTGCTTGATCAGGTGCCACTTGTTTGCGAGGTCCGAGCCCGGCGGGAAGGGGCAGGTCTCCAGCATGAGCTCCGTCAGGTGAATCTTCCGCTTGGAGGCGACGGGGTTCTTGGAGGAGCGGGAGCGCCTGCGAGCGGGCAGCGGTAAGCACAGCCCGACGGTGTCGCTCAGCCGCTGGCGCAGAGAACGAGCGTTCAGGCTGCGCCCTCCGGACACGGAATCGCACATCTCCTGGATGGAGCCGACGCCGTAACGCCTGTCCCTGCGATTCCCGGCCCCCCGTAGACGCCCGGGCCGCCGCTCCGCCTCCAGAGAGCTCTGGGTCTTGGTAGAAAACGAGTGTTTTTTCTTGCCCCCCCACGGGGCGTGGCGGGAATAGGAGTCTCTCCGGGCCATGGGCGTGCCGCCCGATCCGCCGCGCACATCCTCGGTGTCCTTGTCGATCGTAATCTCCACTATCTGGGGGACGTCCGACACACAGTTGTGGTGGCGGCGTCCCACCGGCGCCATCGGCACTGGCAGGAGGCTGCGTGACGGGCTGGAGGCTCGCGATGCCTGCGCATCACCTGAGCTGCCTCCGAGGCCGAGATCCACCACGCAGTGGACCCCGTCGGCCTCCGCCCTGCTTTCACTGGGTCCGGACCCGTTTGTTGTGAAACAGTGTCTGGCATTTGCTCTTCAGGTTGTTCCACATGTTGCCCACTTTCTTCATCAACAGGAGCCCCCGGGACCTGAAGAGGGCACGAGACAAAAGAAAACTTTAACGCATTTAACGCAGAGGCCCGAGCTCCTTAAAGACTGTCCTACATTTGAATTCCCCAGACTACTGTGTATCTAGTAATTTGACATGGGGAGGGTATAGTGGGGCTAAAGTGCTTTGGAGGTGGCTGAGCTTGAGTAGTTGGAGCAGCGGAGTGAGGAGTTGCCAGGCAGACGTGCAGGGACACAAGGCCGCAGCTATAAATGAACCCGAGATCTGCTCACAGCTGATCTGCTGGTATGTACTATATTACAGAGCCAGTCTAGACCTGACCAAGAACCTTCCCTGTAACAGCAGCACACGGCACAGAAGTACATTTACAATTGCGTATGACGGTGATTTATTGCTCTATTCGAATTTGACAAGATTTTAGATTTTATTCTTGCTGAATATTTAAATCCCTTAGATCGTCAGCTGTAACGTTGTGTGCTACACACCAAGTTAAGGGCCGCAACAAAAGGAGGCTGGAAACCCTGTAGCTGGCCTCCCTCTCTCACCCTCCAATTTCTCTTCATTTCCATTTACCTCTGGGCTAAAAGCAGCTATCCAAGTTAAGTTTGCACAATCAGCTGTGAGAGACGAGGTGCGATGCACAGGAAGCCAGACTGGTCTTTAAGCACATGACTGATTACATTGATTTGCTGAGGTTACAAACTCATGACGTCGGTGTCATCCCCTTTATTGATCTGCACTGTATTCACAAGAGATGACGTCTCCCCACTCGACAGTCGTCGGGTGTTTACACCCAACTGCGAAAACAGTGCGTAATAAGCATGTTGCTACGAAAGAGTTATCTCGTCCAAACAGTCGAGCTCCGTAACCCAATGACTCGTTCGCTGTGGTCCATCTCCGGTTCTGTGCTCGTGTATATCTGTGTAATAAGCCTGAGTGAGTGTTCGGATGGTTGGCTTAACTTTAGCTAGTGCTAATGAATAAGCGTACGGCCGTGTGCTTGAGTCTCCTCTGGGTCCTAGAGTCTCAGAAGTGGGTTCAGAAAGCTCAGCTGTGCTATAAACTCTGAATAAACAATGAAGCCATGTCATCATCATCACACACACTCACACACACAGGTGTTAAGTGCTGCAAACTGTGGCCACTAGATTTGATCAAGAAATTTCGGAATTTCCTCAATAAAAAAAAAAGGCAGATCAATTTCCATTCCTCTTAAATGTCTTCCAGGGAGTCAGTCGAGCTGTTGCGATCTTCACTTGTCACTTGTAGCGTTTTACTGGCTGAGCACTGAATCTCAACTCTGAGGTTTGTAGTCATAAAAACTACAAATGAATATTGAAACATGAACACACAAAGCAATGGCTTTAACGACACGGCTTGCTACTCCTGCTATCACAAATAACACATGGCAAGTAAAGGTTTTACTACTTCACTTGTTTAGGGTTATAAAATTCAGGCTCTGAGAGTCCTGACAACAGTATATGTTAGTATTTAATATTACAGTGAGTTTAGTACGTTTAGTAGGGAGCAGTCGCCATAAACTGGTTAGATAAAGCGTTGCAGATAAAAGGAGCAAACACAAGTTTGGACAAAGCAGAACAGTGTGGAGTAATTAGGCAGCACTATTGACAAGAAAGGCAATGTGAAGGAAAGTATGTTTTCTTTAATGTATAAAAATCACCTGAAATAAGTTTTTCTTTGTTACCTTAGAAATGAGCGGTTTATAACAACATACAATGCGGCTCCTCTTTGGGGGGCCGGTCGCCATGTTTGTACAGTGGCCCGGAATGGACAAACCAAACACTGGCTCTAAATAAAGCAAATTGAATTTACACATTGGCCACTGTAGTTCTCGTACACACGTGGCCGAAGGTTTATTTGGTTGCAATGTGAAACTTCACTGCTAGTGCTGTCAACATTTTCCAAAAATGACGTCCAAATAAACGAAAAAAAACAGTTTGAAGTACCTGAATATCTATTTTTGCCAAATATTTATATGACAGTATGTGCCAGCCTGACCAGGTACGTATTAAGGAGATGCACATGCTCATTCCTTAAAAAATTATTTAAAGAGTTCAATACACTCATTATTGTTATATAAAAAGGTGGATAAACCATCTAGAACATATAACATTATGCTGTAGTCTTACCCAAGTTATTTATGTGCTAGTTCAGTGTAGTGACTTAATCGTATGTTAATAGGCTTGATCTGTCTTTGTAAAAATCCTTTGGGTGCAAACTGTTTGATGGAACCTGCGATTGTCTCAAGTCGAAGGAGCAACATGGAGAAACACGCAAACGAGGGTCTCTCATTCAGCAAAGTTATTCTTGGTGCATAAAGCCTAAATTTGCAGATTTAGATTTTATACTAAACTTTATTTGTTCTGCTGATGTGAATCTATGAATTAAATAGATATTAAATGGATCTATGACTTAAAACAGCAAGTTCACTCTCAAAAGATAAACTCAAAGTGTGAGGCCAACATTATATCAGCTCCATCTTGAGAGGCTGGACTTTCCACCTCAACATACAAACAATGGAAGTTACAGGTGCCAAGACACACAGCTCAAAGAGTCTTGGTCTCTCAAACTTACTTAAATATGGCCCAATAAGCTTTACACAACCTTTTTTCTTATTACAGTTGAATAATGATGTGGTGGGAATAACAATTGAGGACCCTAAACATACCTTTATAACTCTAGCATTACTCACATATTAGAAAAAATCAACTTGTTCTTGTCAGACTGTTTCACAGCTTCACTGTCAACGCAAAAGAAATGCATAAAGAAAATAGGTGTGTGAATTAGTGCAAATGTGAGGAAAACTCAGCCTGTTAGTTAGCTTCTCCGCTAGCTTGTTAGTCTCATTAGACGTCAAAGGAACTCTTAGAGCTCTTTAAAACAAACGCCACGGGTGCAACAGCAGTGATCATATTTCTCACTATGTGGTTGGATTTTTTTCTTTTTTTGGTGCAGATTATAATGATGATTCATTTGTGTGCTGATTATTTATGAAACACTACAAACTAGAAGGTCAGATTGATGTCTGCAGCAAGCCAGAAACCATTAGGTCATCATCTTGCATACATCCACCTAGAATGAACTCTGCTGCCCTTGTTAACAATGGCCACACAAACCGTGCAATCCAGTCTACAAACATTTACATGTGCCCTTAAACAGAACTCGGCTACTTCTGCTCTCTGGCAGCCCAACACACCCCTTCTCCTGGGATCGGGCTGATCTGAGACCGGGCTGAAGACAAGATTACGGGAGGACGCCTTCTCTGCGCAGACCAGACCCCAGTTAATGAGATATTTGCAGCGTTTTGGATTCTGAAATATATGCAGGATGGTGGAAAGCCACACAGAGTCTGTGAGTGACTGGTAAATTACACTGATTGTTTCCTCATTAAATATTAAAACTTTTATGAGACAAATGGCAAACTACCCGGGGTTTTGTTTTTTTTTCATTTCAGGTTGGGTTTAATGGCAAAAAACGAACTTCTCAAACAAAGGCAGAACATGCACAGTAGACTAACGTTATATTCCTGCATTTCTCTACAGCAGCGTTTGTATGATCATTATTCTGCTTATTTGTTAGTAGATTGCCCTTAGTAGTTAATCAACTAACATTCAAGTCAGACAGAAACTAAGTAAGTAACGTTAAGTAAAAATAACAATAAAGACATTCCTGAACTTGCTTCAGAAGTGCTGTTAACTAACGTTAGATTAAATCATCCCTACAATGACGTTACCATGGTTCCATGATAAGTAAGATTAACGCCACTTCAGGACACACAACGGACGAGGCGCACCGTTATTACGGCGGCGTTAGCGGCGTTTGACAGAAGCGGTCGGAGGCCTTTGCGTGTGCGGAGGCCGCACGTTTCCCTGATTTCCAGCCAACGTCAACCGTCCGTCGCCGCCGCCGCGCCGCTAAACGGAGCTAAAGCCGCAAGAGATAACGTTAGCACGGCTCAAATCTGCCAAGTTGGCACGGTGCTCTCAGTCAAACGTATACTCATAAACCTCTTTGAAAATGTCCTCTATTGGTCTAACAGATACGAACTAACTTGTCTAAACGTTAACGGTAAATACAAACTGATGCGTTACGAGCTGTCAAAAAAACGGCTAACTGTTAGCATTTCCTAGAGTGAGAGTTTCAAGCCTTTAAGTTAGCTTTGGCTAAGCGGCCAGCTAGCGCTGTTAACCTGTTAGCTTGAGAGAGAGAAAAGCGACACAAAAATATATGCAATTAAATCGAGCGGCGCTGTGCCGCTTCAAGAGGTTCGGCGGACAGACTTTACGTGAATGACAAGTTGTGGTTTGTTTCTCCAGTTCACATCTTACCCGTGTGCCTTTGGAAAGCTCTATTCAACAGAGCTCTTTGTCTGCAGAAAATGGCTATTAAGAGAAGTCAGGCATACATCCCCCTCGCGGACCACGGTGTCGGATGAAAGCACTGAACGTACGCGGGCACTTGATGGTATCATCCCGAATATTTCACCATTTTAAAACGAGTTAGTCAAAACACTGATAAAAAAATTACTTAGAAGGCCAAATTATTCTTCGAGCGCCTCGGGAACCCGTTCTTCACCATGGTGGGGGTCTTACGGCCTTTTCTGCCGGGGTCGCTGCCGCTTGGAGCCGCCACTGTGACGGCGGAGAGGCGGACAGAGAGCCGGAGAGGCGCGCCGCGTCGAGCGGGAGGGAGGCCGACTGACAGCGCCTCGGTCCAATGGAGGAGGGGGAAAAAACGGCCATTTCCGTCCCGACGCGCGGATGGGGAATGCCCCGGAGCTGGCTCCGCGTGACGGGCGTCCCTGGTCGCCAATGAACGAGAGGGGAGGACGGGGGGGCGAGAGGGGAGAGAGAGGGGAGGGGCGTCCGCTGGCAGCCGCCGAGAGGCGACCTGATGCTGGCGGTGCTACGGACGGGCCTGGTCTGACGTCATCCAGGTAACGGAACCAGCAGCAGGCCGCAGTTTAGGAGAATGAGGAAAACTACAGCACGGAGAAAACACTGCTGAAATGTCCAAGCGTTTTATTTTGTGGAGACTCCAGAACAGGTTTCAATCCGAGGTTTGCTTCAATGTTTTATACTACCCACAATAAATTGTATTTGATTACATTCCCACACAGCCATTGTGGGACCATGACATGATAAAGTGTCACACCTACTGCAAAAGTAAATCTCAAGAAAAAGCTTGGACCAACACATGAGGTCATCTCCCGGAGCCGGATCATTCACGAGCACATGACATGAGGCGAAATGGGAAGTGGAAATGGTGTGAGTAATGCAGTAGTTAGCTGGAGCCCAGGGTGACTTCATAGGTGGAAATCACCAGCAGCCCAAACACATTAGCTTTTAGGTCTCCGAGCCCGCGGATCCAATTTGTGCTCATGAGAGGAAATGCAAGAAAATTGCATTAGCACCGATTGATAAAGGCCCAGGAGTGATTCGCACTATTTTACTCAACACGGACCTCTCCTGCCAGCGCGCCCCTCTGTCGTTATACCAAATCGCATAACTCAACTCAGTCCAGGAGGGTTACATCCACTTGGATCCCTTGGAAAGACAATGAACGGATGATAAACAGTATCCCATCAGCTCTGTCCTAAATGAGAAACATGTCTCAACCAAAGAGACTCAAGTGTCCTTCACACCTGATTAATAAAAATAAGGATTGTTTTATATCATTTAACTTTTTTGAATTTGTGTAAGTGCTGCTGTGTATTTCAAGGTCATTTCAGCAATTGCAGAGAATAATATCTGTATTACAAACTCAAATTTATTTATAAGCTACGAGTCTGACATCCAAGAAAGGGCGACAGATCATATAAGTGCTGACAGATAATATTTGGGGCATGGGCGGTCACAGAGGACACAAATAGATCTGAATACCTATCAGTCGGGATGTTGAAGAGATGGATGGATCCGAACGCTTGGATGGATAGGTAGGATTTTTTCCACTACTTACAGATCCCATTTCATGGTTAAATGTACTTTTTATCCTTAGAACTTGTACCAAAATGATGTACTTAGAAAGTGCATTGAATGTGTAAGAAATTATGAAAAATCAACCCTTGAGCAAATGTTGATCAACTCTTGGATGATGGTACAGTTTGTCCCACTGAAACTGCACATTTAAAGAAGCAACTGAGAAAAGTAATTGCAAGTAGTTTCAAATCTCTCTAATGTAACTTTCTATCTGACCGTATTCAGAGTTATTAATATTGTTCTTATTCAGTTTGCCCACATTTTCTCATTTTACTGCATTGTTTTGAAATTAGAATTAGATTTAGGCCTAAAAATATAAATTCAGTCAATTTCAGGACCGAACCCAATCGGGTTCGTATGAATCCAGATGTACTTAGGAGTTGTTTTCTTTTGGCTCGACAAGGTTGCCATCTTGTGTCAGTGGTAGGGAAGTAAAGTTACATCAACATCCAAAAATCTAAATGTACCAGGGTCTCAAACTCCCTAAGTGCCACAGTGTCCTTTTTCCCAGTAGGTTGTTTGTCTGTTTGACAGAAAAAAACGGCCATCCAGATGTCCATGACTCTTGGTGAGATTGGCTAAGATAGCCAATGTTATTTCTCATTTCATTTGGTCTAAATTAATGGCATAATTTAAGGCATATTATGTTGTTATAGTTAAATATACTTTTTAATGGACATCAGTGTATAATCCCCCAAATGATAGAAATGAACTGATTCAGTTGTTCGTCACCCAGAGGTGTCTAGCGAGGGGCAGACTGGCACTGAGGACGCAGACTCGTTTAAAAAGTTGGCATAGAGATTGATCATCAGTGGAGGTGAACAAGCAGAAGAGACGCTGAGTGACTTAAGGCCACTAATAGGCCACTCCTTTAAATTGTGTTGAACTTTTAAGTCTTAATATAATTCAAAAAGGTGAGTTATCTAAATTCAGTTTTGATTCACCCCGATGTGGTTGTAAACATGGAGGTCAATAGGACTTTCTCTCGGTTCTGCCGAGTGAAGCCAATGGGTAATTAACACTTGCATTCTTTCTATTGACCAGCAGGGGGAGACTCCTCTGGTCGCAAAAAGCAGTCTGATTCTATAGAAGTGAATGAGGAAATGACCCTTCTTCCCACTTGACTTATTACCTCAGAAAACATTGTAAATGATAAAGTGTGAGTTTATAGTTTCAACACCATAGAGCAGAGTAGGGCGGGCTTACTGTGATTGACAGGCTCCTGCCGCTTGCAGAGGCGACTTTGTTGTCTCTTTGTCCCTCCAATGCATTCCAGATATGGTAACTTCTGTTTATCAGTTGCAAAGAAAAACATGGCAATGGCCTATTCCAAATGCCGACGGCAAAATGACCAAACCCAAAGCATCAACACAGCAGTCCTCAAACTCAAGGATGACGTCACAGCAACACCGTCTATATATACAGCCTATGATAGTAATCTGTAACCGAACCGTGAGATGGCGCTAAAACCTACGCAGTGGCAGTTTAGGGTTTTTTGGGGGGTTTAATACCTTTTTTAAGTTAATATGAATACAATTGTCTTTTTATATTTGCTTTCTTACTGTCTTCTATACATTTTAAAACAACATATTAATATATTTTAACATGCATAAGTTACATCCATAAGAATAGTAAGAAAGAGAGAAAACTTGATGTTCTGTTCAATGGTTCTGAAAATGCATTTACCATATGAATTATGACACACAGCTTCTCCATACACATTTGTACAATAAAAGTATTGCTATGGATATCTCTCTCCCTGGTATTGGTTCAAAACCGGATCAAAACTAAATGTTATGATCTCAGATCTTTAATGCAAGTTAGATAACTGAATACGTCTCACATGTTGTTATCCTTTTCGATGGTATAAAGTCATAAAACAGAAGCAATGTGTCTCTTGAAGTGGCCACTAAGAATAGAAAGCACAAAATGTGACGGCCGTGCTAAAGGTAGCCAGCAGGTGGCGCTCATTCTCCAGAGAGCAACACAGCTCCCCCTGAACAGAATGAGCAGCGCGTTAATGAAAAGTCACCGACTTCAAGGGGTTGACAATAAACAGGAACCTTTATAAACAGAGCATGCATTGATAAACACAATATCTGTATGTATTCATTTGCCTCATAGTTGACCTACTTATCAAGTCAACCCACTGATGTCATGATGAGCATGAACGCACTTTGGTTCCAGGAACAAACGCTGCAGAAGTTAATTTCACAAATGCCGTGTGACGGAGTTAAGCCCTCCAAAGCCGGTTTGTTAACACAGTAAACACATTTATTTGGAAGAGAAGCGCATTGGTGGCTGCGGCACTTCGGTCCTGTGTCCTGAGGGGGGGGGACCTTCACACAACGTAAGCAAGCGAAAACTGACAGATAGGAGGAGCACCGTTTACAGTAAAGCTTTGATCAATCAGTATAATCCCACTCATGACAGAATGAACGGTTGTCTTTAAGCAAGAGTTCATTAATGTCTTTTTAAACAAACAAGCAGTAAGTGAGAAAAGGCCGATAACGAATGCGTAATGATAAGACGAGCTGGCAAGAAAAGTTTGATCACAACGACGTAAGCTTGAAATCTGTGTGGCACAGTGTTGTTTTGGTCGGGTGGAGATGGTTACGCTGTTCTAAAATATGACCTTTAAATGTATATTTGAAGTGGCATTGGTATCTGTTCTAATGGGATATTCTGGTTCAACAGTGTTGCCTGAAAGATGCGATTGGCACACGAGCCGGTGGATCGTGTGCCAATCGCATCGGTGGACGGCTGTAGGTGTTTTACATTAACAGTCGAACTGTTAATGTAAAACACCTACAGCCGTCGAGTAAGGACCATAGAACTTAATGCATACACTATTATTGAGGGTTGCACCAGTTATTTATCCATCACTATATCCGTATATCCATCACTTTTGTTTGTATATAAAGTCCCTTATAGGTTTGTGATTTACAATGCGTTGTGATAGGTTGCACAATAAAAGCAGAAGAAATATCTGAAATGAACAAGTCATTAGATGACTTTTTTTCCATTATCCATGGAAAGACGCTTGCAGTCATTGAAGCATCAAGGGATTTAAAATAACTGACAAAATTATTTCAGTTTTTACGTGGCCTACTGATACTTGTGCTGTTTGACGTTGTGTTTTACATCACTCAAAGAACGCAGGCCAAAGGTTTTTAATGTTTGCTAGTCACAATTGTGATTTTCTAATTTGAGGTATATTGGGTCAAAAAGATGTTTTAATGTAGAATTACTATAATCTCTAAATCGGTAGGTTAGAAGTTTTGACTGTGCACCTTTCACTGGCTAACGCAACAGCTACGTCTGTTTTTGGGTGTAAAAGATTATCAGCAACTTGTTGCAACTTTACATTTTGATTCTGTGATTTGTAAACCACTTTCATTAAAACGGAGTCAAGTTTGCACGTACAAACAGCTGCTGCAACCCTTCTTGTATCTCTTCAAAACTGTTTGGATCTGCTTCTTTTTGGTATTTTAGAGACAATGATGTGCGGGGTAAGATGCTGCCAGTCCTTGTGCCGGATGGAACTGTGTGCATCTTGTGTGCTTCAATCGGCTTTCTCTGGGAGTGGAACTACATTTAAAAGCAGAGGAATGTGCTTTCTTGTGTCGCCGACTGTGCTTCGTGTTGTGCGTTACAGTATTGTGTCACCACCGGGTTGTGATGAAAGTGTTCGCTAGATTCTTTGGGCGTTGGATGTGAATCGGTTTCATTTCTAAAATGAGGTCCCTCTTCTTCTAAACCGTCTTAAAAGTGATACAAAGATAAAGCATTATTGCAGCAAGACACCAAAACATTAAAACAAAAAGGGTAATCGGCTGACGAAATAATATTTGCACAAACTAGATCACCTTAGAGATATAAAATGATAAGATCTAGATCATTCAAATGGACAAAAAAACTCCAGTTCCAGGTAAAGACCTCAGCCCCTAACGTACAATGTGCCACACTATAAATTAGGGTTTTCAGAAGGCGAAAAAAGACTCCCAACTGTGTTCTCTGAAAAGCATTGCACTCAGTTATCCGCCACGCAATGCGAGACACCTGTGGTTTCATTTGCAGGTCCACAGTTGGCAAATGACTGGACAGACTTTGGAGGCCAACAGACTCTCTGAGGCACAAACCTTAAATTGGGGCTCAGGAAACTGCCGTTTGGAGCGCTGCAGGAATTAGTCCTAAAACCCCCGAATGAAAGTGTGCATTTTCAATCCACCGGTTCCCTCGTCTCAATGTGTTTTTTTAAACGTTTAGATGCCTGGAATAAGGTCTGTGGAGAACGTCCTGTTCTGCAATCTACAAGAATATCTCACTGAAGCTTTTATGTTTCTCATAAGAGCCGGTTGGTAACAAGTGGTGAGATGAGCCTGTCCGCTTTTAGCTCTCATGGAATAATTTGCTTATATTCTAAAATTAGCTTTCTACTTCTATTGATTGCATTCACAATAGACGAATCCAAAAAGTGGTGTTAATTTGCAAAGATTATCTTAACTGAACAAAAAACATTAGTTTGCCACAGAGCTTATTTTTTTGCAACACCCCAAAATCCAACGGAAAAATCCTGTTGGCTTTTTACTAGTTAACAAAAAGACGTTTTCCGTGCAGCGCTCTGTGTCCAGAAATGTAACGTGTCTCTTGTCACAGTGTCACTTAAGTAAGCCTCTCATTGTTGATCAACTGCAGACTTTCTCCGATCTTATGAAGACACAAATGCACAAATCAATAATCTTGCTTTCAAAACAGAAGACATAATATGCTAAAGTTAAAATATAGCATTTTTCTTAAAACTAAAATGTAATTTTGTGTTATTTCTTTCCCATGACACCGTACAACAATTTTGTACATGAAAACAAATGATAAAAAATGGTTATAAAAGAAGGTATTTTGGAGGCAAACGCCTTTTAAAAGAAGAAACCAGGGTTTTGTGCTCCTTTGGTTGTAAACTGCATCATCAACCTGTGCTGGAGAGCAGAAGAGTTACGGCCTTTCAAGAGCCTCGCAGCTGAAAAACAGCTCTTGTTTGTCTCTTTCAGTCCTTTGTCTCTCCCTGCTGTCTGTCCCTCTTGTCGTTTCTTTCGCCTCTTGTCGAGGTTTGGTTTCATGCTCGGTTGCCGAACGTTCTCTGGGTTTGTATCACGTGATCAGGCAGCAGTTGATGCAGCGCGGTCCCAGTCTTCTCTTTAAAGCGCCCTTCTTTTTCTTAGGGGTGAGGATTGCGATGATTGCCTCGTCGAACACCGTCTTCAGGCCCTTCTGGGTCAAAGCTGAACATTCCACGTAGCAACATGCACCGATCTGATGGCAAGAAAAGAACGAATGGACCATCAGTCCAAAAATTCCAGTACGAAACTCTGGTTAACTGGCAGCTGTTGTAGTTAAATGTAAAGGAATCCACGGTCTTTCCACCCCATAGTATAGCTATAGCTGGTAGCTTGTTAGCTTAGCTTAGCATAAAGACTGGGTATGGAGGGAAACAGCTAGCCTGTAGGTAAAAGAATCCTTTTAACAGCATATGTGAGGCTTGTTTGTTTAATTAATACAAAAATGGTTTGCAAAGAAAGTATAAAACATTACTTTATGTGTATAAATGTGTGAATTTGTGAGCTTTAGACTACTTTCCAATGTACTCCATCAAGCAGATTAGCTGTTGTTAATCTTGTAACAAAATCGTCTCCTGGTATCTGCAGCCACAAGAAAGGATTTCATTCAGGGGTAAAGCCTGTGGAAGACATCCACCGCATTACGCTGTTTGGCAAACAGCTCCAGAGGGCTCTACAATCTGTACACATGCAACATCCTCTGTACAGGGACGCCGGCATCGGCCGGGGAAAACTCCCCAAAACAAAAGGAAGACACCTCAGGCAGAGAGAGGATGGATTTCTCTGTGAGGACGACCAGAAGTGCAATAGATAGATTCAGAAACAAGATTTTTCAAAGACTGCCAGGAATTTGTGTTGCAGAAAGGTTGATGCTTACTGGCTACAGATGAGGCTAAACATTAGGGACAGTCACAATTCACCATCTATCAGATCCAGAATGATTTTACATGTACTCTTGTGGCCTTCGTGACTCCCACAGGAAATGTGTTTTATCTAAATCCTTTGAGTCTAGATTGTCCTTTCTAAAAAGTTTGACCTGCATCTCAGTTTCTGGCTGACAGCAGCGATTAATCAGTGACCATATTTGGTATCTACAATCTACTGCTTCTCCTTTCGAGGTTCCCGTTCACGCAGAATGGATTCACTTTGAGGCGAACGATGTACATTGGGAGTGATTCCAGGCATTTCACTGAGGGAATGAGAGACATTCGTGGGTCGAATACACAGGAATCCAACAGCACTGAAAAGTGAAAAGATAAGCTTTTGTTCTCTTCGTCGGCTATTTTTTTCCTGTTTTGGACAAAGATACAAACCTCTTTTGCTAGTTTCTGTCCTTGCTCAGTGAGTATGGGCTTCTCCTTCATGTCATTCAGTTTGGCAATGGTCTTGGGGTCATCGCGAAGGTCAATCTAAAACAAATGAGGGACATATAATCAGATATATTACATGAGAAGTGGACGTAGACACAATGAAGACACCTGCTTTGATAGCGACCTGTCAATCACAACACAGCCCGCTCGAAAACATTACTTTATTGTCTACTTTAATCTCACTAATTCCAAACACCGTCATGCAATGTTAAATGGGAGTAGAAACTAGAATTAGGTCGATTTTCTCATAAACTTCTACAATCAGACGGAGGAGTCGCCCCCTGCTGGTCATTAGAAAGACTCTTCTGCTTTGGCTTTACTTTTCTAAACTAGAGGATACTGCCTGTTTAATATGTGGATATCAATTGCATATATTGTCAATAGTTTTTTGTTGATTTCACAAGATAAAATCAGCCGTTACAGCGCTTTTCCTCTACTAAACATAGTCATGAGGGCTGAAGTGTCAAACTGTTTTCTCATTTGGAAACAAAGCCATGTCGCCCCACACTTCCTGCTCTTGTGCAAAGCCATTTCACAGCTAACCACAAGGTTCCTTACTCTTCTTTTTATTCGTTGCAATGCTCAGCGCGCACACACCTCCTTCCTATCGCAGTAATAACCAGATAATGATAAATGCATCCACCTGGACAATCTCACTCGGAGCGACCTTCATCAACACTTTTCTCTACTGGTGTGATTTGTGGTCGTGTGGCTCTCTGTTCATGTGTTCATATCAGCATCCAAACCAAAAGCAGCGGGCAAGTTATTAGTGGACCTGATAAAGGGGCCGTAAACATCAGCCGACACACGATAAATCAGACCCCCTCGCTGTCCTCCTCATCACCGCCGGGCCTCGGCCACTCAGCTATTTGGTTACCAGGGAACACAGACCAGATCTACTTTGAAATGTTTCTTCTATTAACATCTATTTAAGATCAAAAGTCCAGTTTCTGCATCTTCACGTAATAAACTTGCTCGTTTAAACATTTCTGATTAAATGACTCCCTTTAAGGCAAAGTGTTCTCCTGCACAAAACCACTTAACTCCTTAAGCTCAGCCTGAGGACACCAGCCACGTCTCTACTGGCTGCTCCACAACTTTATGATTGAATTAATTAACTCCTATTCGACACAACACAACAACATTGCAACTGCTAACTTTTCTAACATTGAAAAACAAGACGGCAGTCAAGTAATCCACTTCATCCCTGCCTTCAGATAGTGTGGTTGGTGGTGCCCATCTTTTATTTCTCTCTTAAAATGATCCAATCTTGCTGAATCAAGTTCCTGCTAGCTTTGTTTTTTTCTTCTCAAAAGGCTCAATCCGTCTCTTAAATGGACGGAAAAGGTGGAATTACATTTTGCCGCAGCTCAAGGTGTCATTTTGAAATGCCTTATTTTTTCTGCCCGACAGTAAAAACCCAAAGACATTCATAACATCATAACAATATACGACAAAACATAAGCCTCCCATTGTGAAAGCTAGTAACAGCTGTAGTGTTTATAGCAGTCTGGCATTTTTACTTGAATATGACTGCAACAATTAGAATATCTTTGCAGGCTGTACGGGCAGAACCTTCTGTGTGAGTGTTCGTGACACTCCGTGTCTTCTATGCATCATGCAAACTTCCTTTAGGGTTTGGAAACATTCGCATGGCAGCACAAGCAAAAGGGCACATTTGTCTCTGGATTCAACAAGTTGCTCTGAAGGCCTCGGTGGCCTTTTTAAAATAAATTCATTGTAGCTAACAGTGAGCTTGACACTTTATGTCTTATCATGTCGATAGAGGGCCGGTACCGATGTTGATATCGTATCCAGGCAATATTTTCTGTGCGAGTGGAAAACCTCATGTAAGGACTCATCTGAAGCGGGCATGAAGGAATGGAATATACGGAATTACTAACTCACCTGGGTGCCAATGAGCAAGTACGGGACACTGGGTGCATACTCCTGCAGCTCAGGCTCCCATTCCTCACGCACGTTCTGGAAGCTGGCAGGATTTACCACCGAGAAGCAGATGAGGAAGACATCGGTCATCGGGTAGGACAGCGGCCTCAGGCGGTCGTAGTCCTCCTGAAAGAGGACGGGACGGAAATACTTATTATCATTTGGCGTCAGGTGAGCAGACGTGATTCATTTCCATTTCTCAACACCTGAGAAATTACTGCGTGTGAATTAAAGTGTGTGAAAAACGAGCCCCGAAGACAGAGAGACAGTCTTTTCCTCATGTGCTCAGTTATCTCCGTGGCGATTTAAAGGAATGATGTGGAATGACAGGAAGGACACGCCTGAAGAAATGTGCTTTGTAATTGAGCAATGAAGAGAAAGGACTGAAGAGGATGATCTTCACGCGAGAGAGGGTAGAAATGTTAACAGATGTGATGGATGGTTACTGTATTCATCCTGAAAGGGGATTTTTTTTCCCCCTCCGCTACAGCAGCCTGAATATATACAGGTCAGGGAATAATAAGAAAAAATGCACAATATATACAAAAATACAGTGATATTAAATGAAATGAACTCACTAAACCTTTAAAATATCTTGTTTCGCACAAGGCCTCGCCTCGACCCCCAAAACCCAACACACAGCCATCTAATCAAGCGCCCTCCTGTCCTCAGTGAGGATAAAATCTCTCGAAAGAATGTCCGAGTTGCACAGGCATGTGAATATTCACAGCCTCTTCTTCTGTGGCACAGCATCTGGATTTTTGTCTGCCTGCTAGCTTAAAGAGGAGGCCGATCAATGGATCTCCATCACATGAGATGTGACTCAACCAGACCAAGTGAATCAATCTCACTCTCTCTTGCCTTGGAAACTGTATTGCCCACATCCCCGAATTCAATATCAAATTGGATCCCACTGTGCCGGAGACGGTTGTAAAGGTGCGACAGCGCGCTGGAATTCATTCCGATGCCTTCAGGGACCATTCTCTGCCAAATACAGTACCAGTCAAAGGTTTGTGCCAAACAATACCGTCCAATATGATCACCAGAAGATGCCGGGATTTTAAATCATCCCCTTGATATTCTTTGAGTGGGAACTATCACATCATTTGAGTCATTCGAGTTGCTTTAGTGTGACCGACAGCTTATCTGACACTCTCCAATATATATATATATATATATATATATATTCAAATTCAACTCGTGTCAATATCACTGATTATGTTTCATGAATTTTTCAGGCCGTTTCTGAGATTTACCTGAGTGTGCAGCCTAGAGTGAGGAAAGAAATCCTAGAGAGCGTCTTGGTTAGGATAATATTTATTTATCGCCAGCATTTCCACAATTTTCACTCCTCCTGCATCAGGACATCTTGTGCTGGTCGTCGTCGACATGTGACTATGGAATCCATCCAGACTGAGAGCGAGACAAAGTCTAACTCTTGCCCCATAGAGACCGATATAAATGTGGTGACACAATTCTCAGAAAAGCACAAGGTACAAGTTCTTGAAACTGCCAGGAGTCGTATTTCTGACCACGCAGACATATAAACTCTATCTCAGCGTTTGGGAAAGTCTTGGGTAGTTTTGCATCGAGGGGAACTGCTTTGACGTGTGAATTTCCCTCGTCTCTCTCTCTTCTACCATTATAACTGCTAATAGCACCAGTACTACTTCTCTTACTGCTATAACTTCCATAGCTTCCATCTATTTCAATTAGGCTCTTCAATTCTTTGGATAACTTGGTTTATCTTCCTCTGTCAATCATTATAACTGGTACATTATGCAGTTTAATGATTTTATCCTACAACATTCAGCGGTATTCAGCAAATCTGTCAAATTTATTCCAGCGTTTCTAATTTCTGTACTGTTACTATTTTTTGACATTCATTTCAGTTGCATTGCAATGCATTTTCTAGTTAACAAATGTTAGCCCGCTACACTGAGGGGCTTTGGTGAACACGTTAGCGTGCTAATGTGGCCGTCAGTAAGCCCGTGGCGTCACAGCTGCTGCACGTAGATTTACTCTTGTGTTTGCCTGCAATACGGTTCCATCCCAACCAAGCGCATTGTGCCCTTTAGAGGTCCTGGTTGGAAATGGCAGCGTCATAACATAATTAGAAATTAATATGTTGCGTCGATGCAACGAGGTGCACAGACGGTGGAGCAAAATATTAGTCGGCTGTGTGTGTGTGTGTGTGTGTGTGTGTGTGTGTGTGTGTGTGTGTGTGTGTGTGTGTGTGTGTGTGCGTGTGCACGTGTGCACGTGTGCTTGACCTTTGCTCGCACAAGTCAACCCTCTGTTCTCCCTGCGAGCTGCGGACATAAAGGCACAGCGATAAAAGCCACTCAGCAGTTTCACAGGCCCGGCGCCTCTCGGAGACCCATCTCCGCCTCTCACCCCGTTTGCTTAGCATCCCCCCCGACACACTGCCAAAGGCATCGTACCCGCTGGCCCCTCGAGAGCGTATATTAGGAGACGCAGACTTTGCCTGCGTACTCCTACGTCTCATGTTTGATCGGCGCCCGGCCCTGAAATGTTTACACTCAGGCAGCTGTGAAAGTTTCCGTCAGATGTCCACGTCACACGTGTTTATTGGAGTGAATCCGTCATCTTTCGAAAAGGCGGTGCAGCACGGGCCAAAAGGGGGCTTCGCTGTTTAAACGCTGGCTTTGCTCGGCGCATTTCCACCGGGGCTTCATTGGAGCCGCGTGACTGCGCTCTGTTGACTCGGTGACTTATGAGTGCAATGATATCAGTGCGTCATTCCCTCCTCCCACCGCTCTCTCCCTCTCTCTTCCATGTCTCCTTTCCTACGCCTTTCGCCTCCTCGGGGCTCCATAAAACAAGAGCCGGAGACGCCTGCTCTCCCATGGCCGCCGGGTGGGAAGTCCAGACAAAAGATGCTTCTTTCTCACAGAGTTCGGCCTCTGATTTAGCAAATCTGCACATTTCACCAAACTGCATTTCACCCGAGGGATAAAAGATTTAATAAGCTATTTATGGTCGTTATTATTTCACTGGCCCTCTCATGGTGATTAATGATCATTAATTATAGCTTGAGCCGTGATGCACTCTGTCTATTCATGCCTGTGTGGTGAGATCACATCCTGCCGAGCTCCTTTCAGAGATCCGACAGTTTATTGTTGCCTTTAATGGCAGTTGATGGCAACGGCATACTAGCTGTGTGTAGCACGACACATAAGAACCTGTAACGGATCATTAGAGGGAACTCTATTCATGTATTCGCTTTTAGCGATGTTGCATTCAATACTACTAAATATACTACTTTGGGTAGGAAATATGATTAGTGCGGTGGTTTCCAAACCCCAGGGGGGGGGTTTGCGTTGGGCGACAAGGGGGGGTCTCAGCTTCATCCACAACATTAAAGTCTTACAATGTCCCTTTATCCCTAAGGGGGGGGCAGTTTGGAACCACTGGATTACTAACAGAAGAATATCAAAAGGTGAATGCCACTGTGTTTTTACAGATACTGTACTGCTACAACTGTTATGCTCAACATGTGGAAACAGCTGTCGAATGTCTTATGTGACTCTGTCCCTTATGATGCCATCAGAGCTTATCTCGGCTTCAGCTCAGACCACAAAACTGTTATGGCTGATAACATACTTCCGTTTTCTGATGACACGACCAAAACCTCTTTATTAGCATGTAAGTTTCCAGTAGAACATTAGCAGTCTAGTGTAGCTTAATAGTTAGTATTTTGTATCTCATAGGAGCTGCTTCCACTGATGAATGATCTTGAGTGCGGCACCTTTATGGAATGCTAGATTGCTGTAGTGCAGCTGGGTGCACACACATTTTTTTGTCATCGTGATCTACCCCCCCTAACCTTAAACCCCCCCCGCCGTTGGCCGGTCAGTTCGCCGGGTTACTAAGTAAATAATAATAATGACGATTGGTAGCGGTAACCAACAACAGGCTGCATACCCGCAAAACAAATTAATTTTGAAAAAACAAGCAGCCTCTCATCTGTCAGTCGGACGACTCGCACTGATTGGAGTCAGCCGGCGATGCTTTTCAATGAAATGAAATGTGTCCGTTAGAAAGCGAGGATCGCTAATTAGCATTACCAAGTTTAGCTCGCGCAGTCAAGCGCGGTGACCCGGCGTGATTCTTTTTAAGGCCCTGCGCTGACGATGGACCGGTCGTCAGTTCAACCTTTAAAGTTATTTGTGAATGCAAAGAGTTTCCCTGAGTCTTTAGACAGCTGAAGGAGAGTAAAATCTAAAGTGTGAGGTGACGCAGGCAGCATACAGTTTCTCGGTGTCCAAGCAGCAGAGAGGTGTCAGGTTCCCTCGCTTGGTGAAGCCATTTTCAGGTCTCCTGCTTTCAACTCTCACCCCCCTGGAGCCCCGGCCTCTCCCCCCCACACGGGGAACGTACCGTCTAGGGGGGGGGTCACCTTGTCGCCTTCCTTTTTGGTGTTT